TCAAAAGGAATGAGATCTTGCCATTTGCAACGACGTGGATGGAACTGGAGAGCATTATGTTGAGTGAAATAAGTCAAACAGAGAAAGACATGTATCATATGACCTCAGTGATAGGAGGAATTCTTAATTGCAGGAAACAAACTGAGGGTTGCTGGAGTGGGGGGTGGGGTGGGAGGGATGGGGTGACTGGGTGATAGACACTGGGGAGGGTATGTGCTCTGGTAAGCGCTGTGAATTGTGCAAGATTGTTGAATCTCAGATTTGTACCTCTGAAACAAATAATGCAATATATGTTAAGAAAAAAAAAGAAGAAGAAGAAGGTAGCAGGAGGGGAAGAATGAAGGGGGGGTAAAGGAGGAGTAGACAAACCATGAGAGACGATGGACTCTGAAAAACAAACTGAGGGTTCTAGAGGGGAGGGGGGTGGGAGGATGGGTTAGCCTGGTGATGGGTATTGAGGAGGGCACATTCTGCATGGAGCACTGGGTATTATGCACAAACAATGAATCATGGAACACTACATCTAAAACTAATGATGTAATGTATGGGGATTAACATAAGATTAAAAAAATTTAACTGAATGACACACTGGACCAGATGGACCTCAAAGATATATACAGGACATTCCACCCTAAAACAACAGAATACTCATTCTTCTCGAGCACACATGGAACTTTCTCCAGAAGAGACCACATACTGGGTCACAAATCAGGTCTCAACCTATACCAAAAGACTGGTATTATTCCCTGCATATTCTCAGACCCTAATGCTTTAAAACTGGAACTCAATCACAAGAAAAAATTTGGCAGAAATTCAAACACTTGGAAGCTAAAGACCACTCTGCTCAAGAATGTTTGGGTCAACCAGGAAATCAAAGAAGAACTTAAAGAATTCATGGAGACCAGTGAGAATGAAAACACATCAGTCCAAAACCTATGGGATACTGCAAAGGCGGTCCTAAGGGGGAAATACATAGCCATCCAAGCCTCACTCAAAAAAATAGAAAAATTCCGATTTCACCAACTAACTCTACACCTTAAAGAACTAGAGAAAAAGCAACAAACGATGCTTAAGCCACACATTAGAAGAGAAATAATTAAGATTAGAGCAGAGATCAATGAATTAGAAACCAGAAACACAGTAGATCAGATGAACAAAACTAGAAGCTGGTCCTTTGAAAGAATTAATAAGATCGAGAATCCACTGGTCAGACTTATCCAAAAGAAAGAGAAAGGACCTAAAAAAATAAAACTATAAATGAAAGGGGAGAGATCACGACTAACACCAAGGAAATAGAAACAATTATTAGAAATTATTATCAACAAATATATGCCAATAAACTGAGCAATCTGGATGAAATGGACGCTCTCTGGAAACCTATAAGCTGCCAAGACTGAAACAGGAAGAAACTGACAAACTGAATAGGCCAATAACAAGTAACGAGATTGAAGCAGTGATCAAAAACCTCCCAAAAAACAAGAGTCCAGGGCCTGATGGATTCCCTGGGGAATTCTACCAAACATTCAAAGAAGAAATAATACCTATCCTCCTGAAGCTGTTTCAAAAAATAGAAACAGAAGGAAAGCTTCCAGACTCATTCTGTGAGGCCAGCATTACCTTAATCCCCAAACCAGGCAAAGACCCTGTCACAAAGGAGAATTTCAGACCGATACCCCTGATGAATATGGATTCCAAAATCCTCAACAAAATCCTATCTAATATTATCCAACAATACATTAAAAGGATCATCCACAATGACCAAGTGGGATTTATCCCCGGGATGCAAGGGTGGTTCAACATTCACGAATCAATCAATGTGACAGAACACATTAATAAGAGGAGAGAGAAGAACCATATGGTCCTCTCAATTGATGCAGAAAAAGCATTTGACAAAATACAGCATCCTTTCCTGATTAAAACTCTTCAGAGTGTAAGGATAGAGGGAACATTCCTCAAGTTCATAAAATGCATCTATGAAAAACCCACACTGAGTATCATTCTCAATGGGGAAAAGCTGAGAGCCTTTCCCTTAAGTTCAGAAACACTTCAAGAATGCCCACTCTCACGGGGCGCCTGGGTGGCTCAGTTGGTTAAGCGACTGCCTTCGGCTCAGGTCATGATCCTGGAGTCCCTGGATCGAATCCCACATGGGGCTCCCTGCTCGGCAGGGAGTCTGCTTCTCCCTCTGACCCTCCCCCCTCTCATGTGTTCTCTCTCATTCTCTCTCTCAAATAAATAAATAAAATCTTTAAAAAAAAAAAAAAAGAATGCCCACTCTCATCACCATTGTTCAACATAGTACTAGACGTCCTAGCAACAGCAATCAGACAACAAAAATAAACAAAAGGTATTCAAAATGGCAAAGAAGAAGTCAAACTCTCTCTTTTTGCAGATGACATGATACTTTATGTGGAAAACCCAAAAGACTCCACCCCCAAATTACTAGATCTCATTCAGCAATTCAGTAATGTGGCAAGATACAAAATCAATGCACAGAAATCAGTTGTTTTCTTATACGCTAACAATGCAAGTGTAGAAAGAGAAATTAGAGAAACGATTCCATTTACAACAGCACCAAAACCCATAAGATACCTCGGAATAAACCCAACCAAAGAGGTAAAGGATTTATACTCTAGGAACTACAGAGCACTCATGAAAGAAATTGAAGACACAAAAAGATGGAAAAACATTCCATGCTCATGGATCAGAATAATAAACATTGTTAAAATGTCTATGCTACTCAGAGCAATCTATACTTTCAATGCCATCCCAATCAAAATTCGAATGACATTTTTCAAAGTGCTGGAACAAACAATCCTAAAATTTGTATGGAATCAGAAAAGACCCCGAATCGCCAAGGAAATGTTGAAAAAGAAAAACAAAGCTGGGGGCATCACGTGGCCCAATTTCAAGGTATATTACAAGGCAGTGATCACCAAGAGAGCATGGTACTGGCACATAAACAGACATATAGACCAATGGAACAGAATAGAGAACCCAGATATGGACCCTCAACTCTATGGTCAAATAATCTTCAACAAAGCAGGAAAAAATATGCAATGCAAAAAAGACAGTCTCTTCAATAAATGGTGCTGGGAAAATTGGACAGCCACATGTAGAAGAATGAAACTCGACCGCTAACACCATACACAAAGAGAAACTCAAAATGGATGAAAAACCTCAATGTGAGACAGAAATCCATCAAAATCCTAGAGGAGAACATAGGCAGTAACCTCTTTGACATCGCTCACAGCAACTTCTTTCAAGATAGATGAAAGGCTAGTGAAACAAAAGCAAAAATGAACTTTTGGGACTTCATCAAGATAAAAAGCTTCTGCACAGCAAAGGAAACAGTCAACAAAACAAAGAGGCAATCCACAGAATGGGAGAAGATATTTGCAAATGACACTACAGATAAAGGGCTGGTATCCAAGATCTATAAACAACTTCTCAAACTAACACCCAAAAAATAAATAATCAAGTCAAAAAATGGGCAGAAGACATGAACAGACACATCTCCAAAGAAGACATACAAATGGCTAACAGACACATGAAAAATGTTCATCATCATTAGCCATCAGGGAAATTCAAATTAAAGCCACAAATAGATACCACCTTACACCAGTTAGAATGGCAAAAATGGACAAGGCAAGAAACAACAAATGTTGGAGAGCTTGTGGAGAAAGGGGAATCCTCTTACACTGTTGGTGGGAATGCAAGTTGGTACAGCCACTTTGGAAAACAGTGTGGAGGTTCCTCAAAAAATTAAAAATAGAGCTACCCTGTGACCCAGCAATTGCACTACTGGGTATTTACCCCAAAGACGCAGATGTAGTGAAAACAAGGGCCATATGCACCCCAATGTTTGCAATAGCCAAACTGTGGAAAGAGCCGAGATGTCCATCAACAGATGAATGGATAAAGATGTGGTGCATATATACAATGGAATATTACTCAGCCATCAGAAAGGATGAATACCCAACTTTTACATCAACATGGATGGGACTGGAGGAGATTATGCTAAGTGAAATAAGTCAAGCAGAGAAAGTCAATTATCATATGGTTTCACTTTTTTGTGGAACATAAGGAATAGCATGGAGGACATTAGGAGAAGGAAGGGAAAAATGAAGGGGGGGAAACCAGAGGGGGAGACGAACCATGAGAGACTATGGACTCTGAGAAACAAACTGGGGGTTTTAGAGGGGAGGAGGTTAGGGGGATGTGTTAGCCCGGTGATGGGTATTAAGGAGGGCACGTATTGCATGGAGCACTGGGTGTTATATGAAACAATGAATCGTGGATCACCACATCAAAAACTAATGATGTATTGTATGGTGACTAACATAATAAAATAAAATTAAAAAAAAAAAGGAGTCAGCAAAGTACAGCCTGCAGTCAACATCTGGCCCACCACCTGCATTTGGAAATAAAGCTTATTGGGGCATGGCCACGCCCATGTGTGATGGCAGAGTTCAGCTGTGGTGACAGAGATCATATGCCCCACAAACCTGAAAATAGTTACTCTCTGGCCCTTTATAGGAAAAGTTTCCTGACCTTTGGATTAGAATGCAGCTTTTCCTCTTATAAAAATTTATTTTAGCTCTAAAGCAAAACATCAAATGCTTCCTTACTCTACCATATATCTAAAAAGGACCATACATTTGTGACAACATACAGAACATAAAACAAGCCAATGTGAGTTTATAACAAGCTTCCATTGTTAGTAACTAAACAGGAAGAACATTTGTTATAATCCAATATAAGAACTGTAATTTTTATCATTTATATTGGATGCTGGTAGAGCAGAGTTCTTTAAATAAAGATGCTTAAATAGGTCTAACTTTTGTCAAAACAAAAGATTCCAAGCCTTTGGAGGTACCTAGCATCAGAAATTTGTTATGTTCCATTTCACTCTAAATAATAAGCTTGTCTCCAAATTGACAGTTAAGAGGTTGTTATGTTGCAATTAATATAAAGTATTGTGGGGAAATATCACTTACTTTTTGTTTAATCTCTAGAGATTTTCTATTAAGCACAGCATCGGGTTTGATAATAGCAATACTGTAGAGTTGATCTAGGGAAAAAAATAGGAGAATTTCATTTTCTTGGCACAAAGATTAGATAATGAAGGATTTGGGAATTAGAAATGTAAATTATTAATGTCCAGTGAGTTTCTGCCCATTGACAGTTTTGTTGTTATTACAGCATTCCAACTACCAAAGAGTTTCTCTTTAGAATCAAAGCGCAGTTCCTCTATTTGCATGCAGGAGAAACATTCACAAAAATTGGTGGTTCACAGGCAAAAAAAAAAAAAAAGATTTAGGTGGGCACTAGTTATTTTAATATAATTCACATGCATTAAAATCACACCCATGATCCATCCAGCTTAGTATCACTGTTGAGTGGAGTTTCAATACAAGCAAACATAACAGACTGATGGATTTCACCATCTAGAGATTTATCTACATTTACCTACACATTCTTACGATGAGCTTTTAGTGCAGGATAGCTAACTGAGCACACTCTTTGTCTCTGCTCCCTCCAAAGTATGAACACACACTCACACATCTACACAGACAATCCAGGAAGAAAACTGTTAACTGTAAAGTAAACCGGCATGTGGGTCATTGAGGAAGAAATTATTTTCACAAGGTTTTGAAAGATGACGAAGGATGAAGAGGAGGCTGCTGTCTAGTTAATCACAGGGGACAGGAACCCCTGTTCTGGGTAACCTCTGAAGGCCACAGGCACAGAGACCAAAGGGAAGGCAAGGAGAGCAAAAAAAGTTTGCTTGTTAATAACTGAGTCTAGTATTATCTAGCCAGTCCCTTATCAATAACACTGAGGTCACCACCAGCCTTTTTGCTCCTGCAGCTAGTGCTCTACTGAACATCCATGTACACAAATCCCTTGCCATTACTCTGAAGGAAATTTACTTACCAATACTTTCATTGAGTACTTCCCCACCATCATCCGCCTCTGGATCTACAAACACAATTTCATGATACTGTGGACAAGAAATGCAAATAGAAGTTATATTTTAATATGACAGGAAAAGAGTTTTCAGAAATTTTATTTCTAATAAATATTTATAATTCAAGGGATAGAGGGTAAAGTGGAAATGTGCCTACATTTATCTAACTCTACTTTTCCCCATCTTTTCAGTGAAATAAAAAAAAAAAAGGAATGTTTAAAATGATTGGGGTGGTAAGACTATCAAGAAATAATACATATGGAAACTGTTTAAAAACCAAAAACCTTAAAACTTAAGAAGAGCACAAGGAATAAAATAAGAAAGAAGCAGAGATTATTAAGTAAGAAAGCAATAAATTAGGGGTGCCTGGGTGGCTCAGTTAGTTGAGTATCCAACTCTTGGTTTCGGCTCAGGTCATGAACTCAAGTGTCGTGGGATCCAACACCCTGTTGGGCTCTGTGCTCAGTGGGGAGTCTGCTTGAGATTCTCTCCTTCTCCTTTACCCCTCCCCTGCTTGCTCTCTCTCTCTCTCAAATAAATAAATAATAGAAAGAAAGCAACAGATACATAATTATCATGTTGAAGATCAAAAGGGCATTTGATAGTTTCAAGATCCAATCCTAACCATTACCCTTAGTAAACTAGAAACAGAAAAATACCTCCTTAACTTATAAAAAACTGTCTTGCTCAAAACAATAACCAATTTTCTACTATAAAGTAAAATACTGGGAAGGAAGGGGATGGGGGTTCCTTAATTTCTTGAGAAGCCCTTAAAGTGCTTCTGTGATTCTGTTTTAACTATCTGAAAGGTTTATATATTTACATATATACATTTTTTTGCCAAGAGAATGCATAATTTCAGAGTCTCGATGAAATAAAGACCCCAAAATGTATGGAAATGACTACACTGGAAGCTCTCATTCTTATTACAATCGGGAATAAGATAATTATACCAGCTATAACTTCAAACTGATCTGACTTTATATTTGCTGGACATGTGCTGGCCAATACAGCACCCACTAACTACATAAGGCTATTTCAGCACTTGAAAATGAAGTTAATCCAAATTAAGATGTGCCATAAGTGATAGCTGCACAGCACATTCCGAAGATTTAGCATGAAAAAATGATTGCAGAATACCTTATTTTTTATATTGAGTACATATTTAAATATATGTATATTTTTAAATCCTGTATATTTTTAATATACAGGATTTAAAAAATTTAATTTCACTTTATTCTAAAAAAAGAGAAAAAGAGAGAGGGAAACAAGCCGTAAGAGACTCTTAACAATAGAGAACACCTGAGGGTTGATGGAGGGAGGTGGGTGGAGGGATGGCCTAGATGGGGGATGGGCATAAGGAGGGCACTTGTGATGAGCACTGGGTGTTGCATGTAATTGATGAATCACTTAATTCTACTCCTGAAGCCAATATTACACTATATGTTAACTAACTAGAATTTAAATAAAAATTTGAAAAGAAAAAATAATAATAATTTCCCTTTTTTCTTTGTTGTTTTTAATGTGACTCGTAGAATATTTTAAATTATGCATGTGACTCACAACATGACTTGTATTTTTTTATGATCTACAGGGCTGTGCTAGACCAGGCAATTAGATAAAAAAGCTAAACAACAGAAGCATTCAACAAAATGGAATAATATAAAATAAACATATTAATACATTTCTTATATTCATGCTGTTATTAATTAAAACAGGATATCATTCTGTAAGAACACTCAGAACAACAACAACATAACCACAGAACAGAGTACACATAGAGAAAGGTACATAGAATATAGCAATTAGGAGTATATGTTTAGGAGTCATTCTGCCTGACATCAAATTCTGGTTTCACCACCTACTAGCTGTCTGTTTTGGGGGAAATAACTTAATGTTTTTAAAGCCCTGTCTTATCATTTGTAACTATCTCATTAGATTTCTTGAGATTCCCACTCAAGATGGCAACATAAAAGGCTGAACTTAACTTCCTCCTATAAACACACCAAATCTACAGCTCTCTATAAAAAAAATTTCCTCTGAAAAAAATCCAGAGAAAGGCTGAGCAACTCCTACATTTCAGGCAAATGAGAAAAAAACAAAAAACAAACCCATACTGAAATGGGTAGGAAAGTAGGAGAGTTTCAGACACAACTTGACCATCAACTTCACCCTCACCACAGTGACACACAATTGGGAGGGAACAACCGGCATCTCCCTGAGGAGTGAAGAAGGGTTTAGACTCACCATATAATGTGCCAAATTTTAAGACTTTCATTTGAAAGATAGGTCCCCCAAATCCCTACCTCTGAAAGCCAACTGGGGCTTGTGTCCATGAGTCCCAAGAGGCTAGAGTAAACAAACAGTTCTCAACAGGCTGGAAAGGACGGGCTGTGGCTATCCTATCAGGGCTCAGCGCACAGGCAGCTCACTGACATGCCCAGTTTCTCTCTGAAAGAAGCCTATTTGAAACTCTTAAAAGCTGTAGCCTGAGAGGCAAGCTCCTAAATTAACACAGATCTGGGGGCTGACTGCAGTCCTCTCTGGAGACCAGGGAGGATGACAGGCCCATCTTTGCACCTTCCCTCTGCCCTGCTCCAGGAGGGTGATGTCCACGTGAACATGGTTTGAGCGCACATCTGGCACCCCACCCCAGCTTTTGTGGCTGCTCCCCAAGGACACATCCCTTATAGCCTGACTATGGCAGCCAGCAGAGCAGGTGTTGTTGGGTTCAGTACAACCAGCTATGTTTGGATAAACCATCCATACAGAAAACCAATAAGAAAACACCGGACTTAAATTATGCCCCCCAGGTGCCCCAAATACAAAGGATCTTAAGAGACTACTATGACCAACTATGAAATCACTATCTCAAAAAGTTATGTTCAAGCACGTCTGGGTGGCTCAGTCAGTTGGGCATCCCACTCTTGATTTCCACTCAGGTCATAATCTCAAGGTCGTGGGATAAAGCCCCACATCAGGCTCCATGCTGCTGAGCATGGAGACTGCTTGGGATTCTCTCTCTCCCTCTGCCCCTATCCTGTCTCTCCCGAAAGAGAGAAAGAAAGAAAGAAAGAAAGAAAGAAAGAAAGAAAGAAAGAAAGAAAGAAAGAAAGAAAGAAAGAAAAGAAGAAAGAAAAAAAAAGAAAAGTTATGTGCATACCCATGTTCCCTGTAGCATTATTCATAATAGTCAAGACATGCAGACAACCTAAACGTCCATCAATGGGGCGCCTGGGTGGCTCAGTCGTTAAGCATCTGCCTTTGGCTCGGGTCATGATCTCAGGGTCCTGGGATCGAGCCCCGCATCAGGCTCCCTGCTCCGCGGGAAGCCTGCTTCTCCCTCTCCCACTCCCCCTGCTTCTGTTCCCTCTCTCGCTGTGTCTCTCTCTGTCAAATAAATAAAATCTTTAAAATAAATAAATAAATAAATGTCCATAATGAATGAATGGATAAAGACATGGTATATACATGCAATGCAATATTATTCCCACATAAAAATGAAAGAAATCCTTCTATTTGTGACAACATAGAAGGACCTTGAGGGCACTATGCTAAATAAAATCAGTCAGAGAAAGACAAATTCTATCCAATCTCACTTATATGTGGAATCTAAAAAAAAAAAAAAACTAAACTCATAAACATAGAGAACAGAATGGTGGTTACCAGAGGTAGAGGGTGGGAAGTGTGGGAATTGGGTGAAGGTGACCAAAGGTACAAACTTCCAGTTATAAGATAAATAAGTTCTGAGGGTATAACATACAGCATAGTGACTATACATAATAATACTGTATAGTATACTTGCAAGTTGCTAAGAGAGTAGATCTTGAAAGTCCTCATCACAACAAAACAAAATTGTTAACTATGGAAGGTGACAGATGTTAAACTTAGTGATCATTTCACAATATGTACAGATATCAAATCATTATGTTATATACATTCAATCAATACAATGTTGTTTGTCAGTCATATCTCAATAAAACTAGGAAGGAAAAAGATTTCTGTCAAAATTAAATGAGATCTGTTTATAAATGTTGGCAAACAGCAGCTCTTCAAAAAGTCCTAGTAATTACAATTTTCACAAACAAGTGGGGATGGCGGGGGGCGGTGAGAGGGAAAAAGAGACAGAGAGGAGGGAGAGAAGATTCCCTGACAAAAAAGAAAATCTGAAAAGTAAAGAAAAATGTCCTTGGATAAGAAAAATCACTATTATGAAAATGTAAAGTCCCCATATTTGTCATTTGCCACTCTTCCATCAAAATGTTCATTTTTTTCTTAACACTCAAAAAGTACTTTGTGCATACTATGGATATTAGCACATAGACATAGAGTACAAGAATTTTTCCCAGTTTACTGTTTTCCTTTTACATTTTAGGGTGCACTTCAAGGTTTTAAATAATCAAATCAATTTTTCATTTTTGATATCTCTGTTTTGTGTTAGGTTTACAATGCCTTCCTTAACCTAAGACAATATAAACGTTCACCAGTATTTTCTTCTAATGCTTTTATGCTTTCTTCATATTCAGCTCTGTAATTCATCTGTAATTTATGTATATGATGAGAAAATGATATAAATTTCTTATACAAATAGTTAACCCAATATTCCTAAGCCTGTTGATCAAATTTTTTATCCTTTTCTGATTTAAACTGGTATTTTTATAGCAAATACTTAATACAAGCTTGAACCTATATCTTCTCATTATTTCTATTTTTCAGTATTTCTTGCCTCATCTGTACTTTCCACTTTTTAAGTTCATACTTTCCCTTTTCACTCTTGTGGTTGGTTTGGCATGCATAGGTGTATTGTGTGTGTGGACACATGCACACGCGCATGTGCGAGCTCAGGTGTGTTCATTTCAATAACACCGGTAGCTCTTCCTTATCTGCCTGTATTTTTTTATGTTATTTTATTTTATTATGTTATGTTACCATACAGTAGATCATTAGTTTTTGATTTAGTGATCCACGAGTCATTGTTTTCATATAACACCCAGTGCTCCATGCAGTACATGCCCTCCTTAATACCCATCACC